TTCAAGCTGGATGAAGGTCTGATCCATCTAGATAAACAGGTACAAACCACCATCAGTGTTAAGTGTTAGTGGAAAGAGTCAGCACATCAGCTGAGATGTAAGGTCAGAGTTTGTCTTTTTTTAGCACTCAGAGTTGCAAGTGCTGGAAACTGAATTGGCCCTTCAGCGGCAGATTTTTGAGGCAGCCCGCAAACTCTCGCTTGAGGAGAACCTCAGTAAGCCACAGAAGAAGGGCCGGCTGCAGCAGTGCAAGAGGGAGGAGAAGAAAGTGAAGGAACTGCAGCAGGCCGTGTTCCAGCATAGAATCAAGAGTGAGTGCAACTCACCCAGCGTCAGCAGCCAGAACAAAGGTGAGTGACTTTGCTGCCCCCTTCAGGCCAGGCTGTGCAACATGCAGTGCACTTAATGGAAATGTAAAATGTTTGGCGTTTGTGTGCAGATCTGTGCATGTCTGATGACAGCTCACTCTCCGATGTGGTGGCGCTGGATGATGGTGAGCTGAATGATTTTAAGGTTATCATGACATTCATTTAAATATGCAGTAGAAGAAAAGACAGCTCTGATAGAGCATGGTGTCACATTCAACATGCAAATCATTCTACATGTCTTTTTATGAAATTAATTGCGGGTCATGTGTAAAAACAAATATGGGTTTAAAATTCCAAAACTCACTTTAATAATGTGATTTAAATATTTTTAAAAATAGTGAATACTCTACTGACTTGTTTTCCGTTTAGAAATCATTATTTAATGTTCTCTCCAATCCTGTATAGATCTGGACATATCCAGCCCCCTTTCACCTCCAGTGTTGGACGCTTCATATTCAGATCCCCTTCAGCTGTCAGCCCAGACTGTGCAGACATCGCACCAGTCCTCAAGCGAGCTCAGTGTGGAGCACGAGCCCGCTCCCATCCAGAATTCCCCTTGGAAGGAGTCCAGTCTGGACCATCCTTACCAAAAGGCCACCAAACCTCCGTCTGCCTGCAGCAGCAGGTCCAGGTAAGGACTGAAGAATGCTAACAACTAGTGAAATACACTATTATACTCCAAGCTAGATTGTACCTTATTTTACAGTTTTCCATTTGATAGATGAACTTAGATGAAATCAGGTGCAATGTCAGCCTTCTTGTGCTGGATTAGCACATAGTAAAGCTTCCTTTTTCTGAATGTGTGCGATATCTCATGTCATGTCTCCTGTGTGCAGTAGCCCAGCAGCAGCCCAGGTGTCTGCAGAGAGCATCAGGATTCCTCTCACTCAGTTTGTGAAAAACTCTGCCCTGCGTCACAGCAGCTCCACCAGCGCCCCCTCCACCCCGGAGCTGTTCATACGCCGGCAGTACTCCCAGTCCTTCAGGTACACAGACAAGTTATGTCAGAGTCATTTGTATTATCAGAGGAATTAAAGACAATAATGTTGTATTAATGTTTCAAATTTTACACAATATCCCTTCTCAGACTTCCAAAAAGAAAGCCATCTGACGTGGAGCGTTTCAGCTCAGAGAGCAGTCGAGGTCGAGCTAGGCTGCCCCAGCGACGCTGCGTGGCTGACTTCATGGTGCGCTCCCCGGAGTACTCTCCTCTGCGTCCTTACCAGTCCAGCTCTGAGGACAGCAGCTCAGAGCACTCGTCATCCTCTAGCATTAGCTCTCCTGGCAGGGAGAAGCCGACTGAGATCCCAAAGCTCTGCCCACCGCCTTACGGGTTCCACTTTGGAGCACAGAAGAAAGGAGTCTCTCATTTCCCCAGTATGCACAAAAATACGAGCACCAGCTATGTTAAGGCAGCGGCGGAAGATGGACCCCTCTCCCCGCAAGCTCCAGACATGGGGAAGTGCTTCATCTCTACTGTGGCACGCAGCACTCAGCAACGACAGTGGCAGGAGGGGACACCTTCACCGAGAAGCATCTTAAAGCCCCCTCCGCCTTACACCAGGCTCGTGCGGACGCCCTCGCTGAAAGAGTACCCAAACCACGCCGTGAGGCTGCTGCCCCGGGAGGTCGTATCAGAGGAGCTGAAATCGTGGCATCAAAGGAATCAGCTACAGAAGCTACTGCCAAGCTGCGGGGAACAGCAGAGCGTTACGAGCCCCATTTCACCTCACCTGCCTCCTTTTGCACAGGTAGGTACAAGCACCAGCTATGTTAAGGCAGCGGCGGAAGATGCATTAATATGTTTGATTCTTAACATATTAATGCATTGAAGCTGTTACTTTCGTAAATTAGATCAGTGATTCCAAAAGTGTGGGCTGGGATACTGCAAAGGTACTCAAGTTAGTATGTGTGCCGTTATTTATATAAAAAGTCAGGTTAAACTGGTAGTAGGTGGTGGTTAGTTTGTGGTATTACTCGTTACACTGACCTAAATTTAAAGCTCTTTTATTGACGTTTGTGTCCTAGTGATATGTGGGTCACACAATGGCATTAATGCTTTGCATTTGACTGGGTAGCATTAGCAACTAAGAGCCAACAGCCTGTGTTTTTATGTTTTGGTTTGGGGTTTTTTTTTTTTCAAATACATCACTTTCTCTTGTTTTTTGATTAGAGGTTGCTTGGTCCCCATGGGATTTCTGGCAAATTGACACATTTTCACTTGAAAACAACATGAAATATTTTTTACTGAACTAGATTAGAGATCTAATGTATTTACAATGTGCTGGCTTTGTGACTTTTTTCACAGGGTTCAGGTAACCTGGTTCTCCAGAGGGCTGTAGATGGGACTCCCCTTCAGTGGTTTGTTGCCGAGGATGCTGAGATTGTGAGCCAGGTGTAGCTGACACGCCTAAAACCCCCTGCAGTATGATGACTCATTCCTTTATTTATTAAGTCTTTGGACTCTCTGTGAGATTGTTTGTTGACATAATGCAGAAAACGTGGACCTGTTGGTATCACTGATTAATTTAATGTAAGGTGGTATGCCAGTTTTATTTATTTGGTAATACATCTGAGGTGAAATAAATCTGATACAGTTTCATAGCTTATTTCAACAAAGACCATAAACTTGCTGTTGTTTGAAGACCTTTTTTTGTGGCTGGAACACATTTTGCACATGCAGTTCACCCACAGTAGATTTAAAATAGCTTTCCTCATTTCTAATATAATTTTTGACTTATATTCTATATTTATTATTTAAAGACCCCCCCCCCCCTTTTGCAACATAGACTTATCACTAAAACTATGATAGCCACCTATAAGCACGCACAGCAATGAGTTTTTAGAGGTATATGTGTAGATATACATAGTGAAATTTGTCTGATAATGATGTGAAGTGAGCTGAATCTTAACATTTGAATCTTGCTTATTAACTCCTATTAACCACTGATGCCTTTAAGGGCAATTTTGGTGAAAGTTTTCACTGCGGTATGGTGTTTCTTACTAACCGAGTGATTGTATCAGTTTTGATATGTTTTGTATATTTATAATAAAAATATTACCAAAATGACCCATCTGAGTGTATCCCGCCTCTCGCTTTATGTATGGGCTCAAAGTGTGGTCATAAATATTTTGTACTTGTAAATCAGGATTTGTATGTGTAAAAAGAATTTGTGTGTGCGTAAAAAAGATTTGTGTGTGCGTAAAAAAGATTTGTGTGTGCGTAAAAAAGATTTGTGTGTGGACTTAGCCAAAAAGTACGTGTGAAACTCTGCACTCAAGTTTCAAGTTACAAGTACGAATTTTGACCCTATTTTTCTTCCTTTCATCTGATTGGCCAATGTCATGTCAATCACAAATTTAATAATCCAATAGGAGAACAGAGGGGTTTGGCTATTGGAGGGGTGCGTTATGGAGCTTCAGGTCCTAAAATGCATATACTATTATATATTGTACATATATTTATTAGTTTCAGATGTAGCCATTGTATTTTGCTTGTTTACATTATTGTATTTTGCACAACTCTGTTGCTTGTGAAGCTCGCACACAAGAATTTCACTCACATGTGCTGTACCAATGTACCTGCACATGTGATGTGACAATAAAAGTGATTTGATTTGATTTGATTTGAGGGAATAAATGCTTTTACATGCCAGTCCAGCGTTTTCCTTCATCACCTTCATGGAAAACAGTCTGTGGTGATTTTTGTTTCACAGGTTTACCTGCTTAATACAGGGACCTCCAAAGCCTGGGGGGGGGCAGTGTTGTGGAAATGACACAGTCTTCACTAGTGGAGATAGTTACAAAGCTTTCTTCGTTATGAATTAACGATCCATGTTTTTATTGAACATTTGAAGATAAAAAAACAAACAAACAGAAACTCTTGTAGAGGACATAAGGTCAGAGATAGAAACGACAAGGAGCAGGTGCATCTAGTACAGGTAGAGCTGCTGCAAAAACCCACAGAGCTCAGCAGCCAGCGCAACTAATTCTGGATCCTTTGCTATTAGTTAGCATTAGCAGCACATGCTGCATCCGATGTGTAAGGACCTTTATGCTGAGCACTGTGACTCACAGCAGTGGTCCTGGGTCAGCCCTGACTTTGTGTTAAACTAATCCTAAAGTAACAATGGTATTTCTAACCACTGATATACCACAACTTTTTCCTTTCAACAGCTGCTGAAAGTTACGGGGACCTAGCTTCTATCGGACATTTATATAGAGATCCTCCAGCTTCAAACTGTATTACCCTTCAAGGACCTGCAGTTTAAAAAAGCGCCCCTCAAACAGCCAAACCCATCTGTTCGCTGATTGGAATGTTAAATTTGTGATTGACATGACATTGACCAATCAGCTGAAAGGAAGAAAAATAGGGTCAAAATTCGTACTTGTAACTTGAAACTTGAGTGCAGAGTTTCACACGTACTTTTTGGCTAAGTCCACACACAAATCTTTTTTACGGACACACAAATTCTTTTTACACACACAAATCATGATTTACAAGTACAAGATATTTATGACCACAATTTGAGCCCATATTTATGACAGCTGAACTGGATGAGCAGCAGAAAATGGATGGATGTTACCAAAATGTATGATTCCCTGTGACAAACACAATGAACGACCAAAAGCAGGGCATCAAAAACCATTTTATGTTTGTTTACAAATAGCCTTCAATTGTCGACGCACTAATTCACGTGAAGCACTGATGACTGTGTTTCATGAAACTACCACAAGAAGTAACTCAGTGTTACGACACAGAAAATCACAAACGTGCACAGGAGAACCAGCCGGCAGCGCTGCAGCCAGTGAGTCAGAGGATGTTGCCTCCACCTGAAGAGAGCAGTCGGTCAGTGTTTATCCAAAGTTATCAGAAATAATACACTTTTGAAAAAGAACAAACATGACGTGTCCACTTACATCCCCACTGTGGAGATCCGTCTGCAGATATTTGCCATCTTTTTCTCCCTTCCTTTGTTGGATAAGACTGCTTTGCCCCTGTGTCTGTGCCGCAAAGTATCCAGAGAGAAGCTGTAAATATAAAAGCACATTCCTCAGTTCCAACTTCTTGAAGCTTGTGATGCTTTTTTGTTGATAAAGTTGCTAATGCTGACTTTAGTAAGAGCTGTATTTGTCAAACTAGACACAGGCCCCAGGGCTAGCAGCAACCAATACTGACACGAAACGCTTCAGAAATTGGTCAATACTGCAGGCTGTTGTGCCTCTCAGTTAGTCCACCTCCTCTGAATAGTGCCATACTTTTTGTTCAGAGTCTTGCTGTTGTTCACTGGTTTTGATGGGGGGCTCTCTGGGGTTAGGATGGGAGCGGGTCCTGGAAGAGCTTCTGATGGAGTTTCATCTGGATTGTGCGGCCTGAAGTAAGACATGTTCGTGATAAATGTTACCATGTAGTTAGGATACCAAAAAATATGCCTGTTGGCTCTAGTTCACCTGTCCTCCACTGAGTATCTGTCGTCCTTGTTCATGAAAGAGCAGCTGGACTCTGAGCTCATGGGAGACGGGCAAAAAGGGACAGCCTTCTTGCTGGAAGAGAGACGCTTTCTGGAGTCTTGCTTTTTCCTATCCTGGAGACAAAGAAGACCCTCCCTGTGGTTTATGGCTGATAACATGAGAAAAAAGCAGGAAGGTTTATTCAGGAAACCTCCCTTACCTGAGTTTGGCTGGAAATTACTGATACACAGACCCTTCTACGGATGTGCTTCTTGTTAAAAAACAAACAAACACACAGATAAAAGGCAGATTCAAGTTCAAAAGATTGCTTAAACCTACATTAGACGTTACAAGTATCCAAATATGCATACCTGCTGAGTATCTTTCTTTATGTTGTCACTTTCCTCTTGATCTACAACAATAAATCCAGCAATTACTCAAACTTTGCACACAACTGCAGAAGAAAACAAGTGACAAGAAACACACCACTGATGCAGAAACCTGTGGAGGCTCTGGGATCTGTGATGTTTCTGCAGGAGCCCTGCTGCTGCTGCTGCTGCATCATCATCCTTCTGGCTTCTTCCAGCTCAGCTAGATTTCTGTCATATCGCTTCCTCAGGTGCTCCACGTGAGCCACCATGAGTTCCACTGCTCTACTCACTCGAGCCTCCTAAACAAAGCAGGAAATAAATAGAAAACTCCTACTCCCAGTGCTGGTCCCAATATAGCAGTAACACTTGTTTTTAACTGAGCCTGACCCATAGTGTACCTGATGCACGGCACCGAGCACCTCTGCTGTGTTAGAGATCCGTTCCACGGTGCCTCCGAGGATGTCCAGGGACAGCTCCAGCTTCTGCAGGATCTCGCTGCGCTTGTTGTCCAAACACAGGCTCTTCAGTATCTGAAATCCCACAGGATTACACTTGTATTTGCAGCCTGCTGGGACCAAAAGGACTCACTACAGATAATAGCCTGCTACGTACAGTACCTCCAGGGTCTCCCTGCCTCTGCTCAGCTCTAGCTGGATGTTCTCCTCAGCCAGGTTACGGGCGTGCTCCTCCGCCTGCAGCCTCTGCTTCAGGGTGTACTGATCACAGCGGAGAGACAAGGCGATCTGAGAGAAAGCTGTCTAGGAGAAGAAACAAAAATATAACAACTTCATTCAAGTTCTCAGCGTCCTCCTGCATTTCAGATACCAGTGGCTCTGCCTGCTGTTGAGATTTAAGGATAAATAAACTTTAATGAAACCGTAGCTGTTCAGAAATACAGAAATCTTGAACTTATAATCAAATAATCCTGTATGTAAATTTTCAAGTGCAGCACATTAAAAAACAAAGTTTAAAACCTACTGAATGGATTTAATGAAGGGGAAGTGTAGACTACTTACCTCCAAATCCTTCTCTGACATCTCTACACTGTTAGGAAACAAGAAGTCTGACAGTTTGATATCACTTCTAATTAAATCTGGCGGTTATCATTTGGTTGTATTTGTACGTATGAATGTCACCTATTGAGGCCGACGCGCTCTATGATGGGCAGCTCACTCCAGCTTGCGATTGGCGGCTCCTCTTGGCTAGTTTCTGTTAAAAAGTTCAAACTGATTTAGAAACTTTTTAGACCTTTTAAAAAAATTATTATTCTTAAGCCATTAACCTTCTCCGCTGTCGTCACTGTCCGGCATGTTGGGCAGGTTGTAGCTGCTTATCTCTGCCTCTGGCTGAAAATATTTGAAAGACATTATCAGCCCTCCGAGGTGTTAAATGACTGATTAAAGGAACGGGTAGGACAGCTGGTTAGACTCACCTCAGCGCTCATTACTGCGTCAGCCTCTTTCACCAGAGTTAATCCAAATGTCAGAGAAAGCCTGATTACAGTATTCAGATTCACTTCAGAGTTCACAGTGGACTCTTCATCATTTGTGAAAGCACAAACATATTCTCACGGGTCAGTGTTTGGCTCATTTGCTCCTCAGCCTTTCTCCAGTCCTGAGAATAGATAATCCTATTAAGAGATCCACAATCAGACCAGAATAGGACGACTGGCCCAAGAGGCTCATGGGAAGCTGTGTTTTTGTATGTGGTAAATTAAAACTAGTGTTGTACCAGTTAATAAATCAAATGCACCAATTCCACAGTTCACCCTGCATCCATACTATATAATACACCATGTTATACTACACTCTATATTCTTGTAGGAGCAAAGGGAGTAGCTTGTTCACTTAATCTCATGAATAAATAATTAGGTTTTAAAGGTTTCAGCAGGACAGGACACAAGGGTACACGGGTCCCATGAGGGGATTACATAGATCAGGAACCGTAGATCTTATTAACACTCCGCTTCCCGTTTTTCACTCTACATACACATTTGTGATCTGCATCAGTCGAATATTAGACCTTTATTTACCCAAGGCCATTGGAGGACAGTTCAAGCTTTTTGCACTGTAGAGGCTGGTGAGAAAAAGTGTTTCATTTCAGGCTGTGTCCATACGAAATGACAACAAACATCTTGAGGTCCAGCTAATGCACGCCAAAGCAGACCGACAGAGACACCTAATGGCCATGCACCAAATATTTGGGATGAATACCCAGGCTCACTGGACTGGGTTGGTGGTTCAATCCCAGGGCACTCTGGTATTCCCGCTGAGCCCTGAGTTGGCCCTGATGTGTTCATAGAAGGGTGCATGTTGAGGGAAGAAGCTTAATGGTAGAATGAGGCATGAAAACCTGAGGCCCTTCCTGTAATTTCTCCCAAAACCTGAATTTCACTACATTATACAGACTAAAGTTAACAGAGTTATGTAACTATGTATTACACCGTTACACACAAGTGAATTTCAGATTATCAGTTAGTGATACAAGACCTCAGTAATGAAATCTAAAAAAATAAATCACTCAGAGCAGCCGACTTTGGAGAATCTCCACTTTTATTAATAGAAAAACTGTATTTAGTAGAGGCGCTGGGGTTTGCCCATGGTGCTCTTGACGTAGAGGGCACGCACGTTCTGCCAGTTCTTCTTCAGCAGCGACACCAGGAAGTTGACAGCCAGGTGGATGTTGTACACAAGTTCGTCTTCTGTCATCTTCACATGTCCTACGGCCACAGCCAGACAAAGCACCTACAACGAGCAGCAAGGTTACTCCACACTGATCAACTTCTTCAAACCAAGTGTTAGATAATGAAACCATAAAGCCAGGAAGCAGCAGAACACACCTTCTTCATCTGGAATTTGATGGTGGACTTGACTTCATCCACCTTTGTGTTCAGGTTCTCATTGTGGGTGAGCAGTGAGGGGAACTTGCCGGCCTTGTTCAGCCCAGGACCCAGGATACGAGGGATCTGCTTGATCAGAGACTCAGAGGCCAGGAAAGCATCATACTTCTTGGCTGGAAGAGGAAGAAACAAGCACGTTAGGAAGCCTTGACAGACTTTGGTCACAGATGAGGCAGTTTGTAATCTTGTGGACACCGTACCGAGCTTCTTGACCAGCTTCTTGTTCTTGTTGAGCTTCTTCAGAGCCTCGATGTCCATGTGTGGCATGTCGGCAGCTTTGGCCTCGTCGCAGTGCTGCTGGTCTCCCAGGATGCACACGGAGAACTTTGGCCTGGGGAGAGTCTTCAGCCTGCATGTCAACAAAACATTTTTAGTGACTGTGCTCACAACCACTTTTCAACCTCTGAGAAATAATCAACTCATTCAACATGTGATGATATAATTTGACCCTTTATGAGACCACCTGACTTTACTGTGGAGTAGAAAAAGTCTTACCCATACCACCACAGGGGCTGGCGTCCAGCTGACCTCTTAGGTGATACAAAGCAAAGTGGTCGGCATGAGGGCGTGAACTTAGCAGCTCAGCCACTCAAAGCCTCCCCTCATGTTTTAAGACCCAGGGTAGGGGTCCGCCTGCTTCGCCTTCCCCAGCAGAAAGCTGAGTAAGCTCAGTCAGACTACCCAGAGTACTTCTCCATGTCTGCTCCTGGCCTGTCTGGACTTTGATTTTTAATGTACTACATGGCCGTTAAACAGGCCGCTGTGATAATCAGACAGGGCTGGAGACGCACAGGGAAAAGGGTGGGTGAGACAGTAAAAGGTCGAACCTGACAGTGCCGGAGAAACGCTTGTCCTTCTGGGGATCATAGTTTTTCAGGCTGATCTGAAGCTCCACCGACTCCACAAACCTACAAAGAGATGACAGGTTACACACATGTCCGGTATTTTCAGTATTACACTTTAACCATTGGTTATCACAGCTGTTCGGATCTGCTTACTTCCTTGGCTTGGCCACGGAGCCCTGCAGGACCTCCTTCACGGCTTCATATAAAGTATCCCTGGAGACCTTACTGTAATGTAGAAAACGTCAGGAAAAAAGTTAACGTCACTAGAAATGCCACCAAGAGAAATAAGACGGCTAATGATGCTAAAGCACAGCGCTAAAAATTCACCAAGCAGCCACAAAAGTCGTGAAAAAAATATGTGCCGGTTATTTAAGAGCATTAAACTAAACAGCAGAGATTAGATGAAGACTGTAAATGTATTTTAAATACGCGGATGACGACGGATTACATTTGAGAAACTTAGCGCGCTGACGGTGCACCGGCGATGAACCGGTCCCATGCCGCACCTTTAACGTCAATAAACTACAACATACCATGAAATACAAACAAAGCCGGACAATATTACGACTCTACGTATCTAGAAGAATAACACAGTAGAGAAAAGCGCGTTTAAAATGAGGTTTTTAATCATTTATTGGGAAAAATGCGGCCTGACCTCATCTTGGTAGCTCGTCGCTCTCGTCGTGCTACGCTGGAAAAGGAAGTGACGTCGTACGTTACGCGACATAAAGGCGATCCGTGACGTCATCAGAAAGCGCGAGCTTTTTTCCCAATAGAAATCAACAAAATCTATATCATAAAACAGCAAGCATAAAAATATCTATTTAGTAGTAATTGAAAAATGTGTGCCTGTGAAGAAACATATACATAAAAATAAAATACCTGTAAAACTACATAAAGATTCTTACCTACTTATAAAGCTAAATAGTTACATAATAGCTACATAATTCAGCTGTCTTTGTCAAACTTTGTCATTACAGTTTTTATGCTGTTGTAAATTATAATATCAAAAGTTGAGCTCTGGCTGTTTCAGGTACTTTTTTTTGTTCCAAAATGATAGTCCTGTGAAAAATCCCTGACAATTTCTATAAGGATAAAGAGTGTAAATGACAACCAAGTGCTGTTAATCAGATGCATTTGCTTGAACTCCCTTATAAATCAGTTTTCTTGTGTGGAGCATTTAGGTATGTTAAACCAAACAACATATCGGCACAAACACCTCATACCAACTGGTGGAGTGATGATCTGTGCTTGTTTTGCAGCCACAGGAGCCTGGGCACCTTGCAGTCATTGAATCGACAATGAACTTCTCTGTATACCAAAGTATTCTAGAGTTAAATGCGAGGCCATTGGTCTGACAGCTAAAGCTTGTCACAAATTGGGTCATGTGACAGAACAATGAGCCTAAGCACATCAGCTAATCTGTAACAGAATGACTGAAAAAGAGTCAAGATGTTGCAATGGCCCAGTCAAAGTCCAAACTTCAACCTGATTGAGATGCTGTGGCAGGATTTTAAGAGAGCTCAATGAAGTGAAGCAACTTTAAAAAAACAAACAAAAAAACAGTGGGTCAGTATTCCTCCACAATATGAGATTCTGATAAAGCAAAACAAAGCAGAAAGACTTCAAGTTATTGCTGCTACAGGTGGTTCTAGAAGCTACTGAATTATGAGGTGTGTATTAATAGATTTTGAGGCGCTGTAAGACATTTTTTGGGAACCCCGAAATTTGAATAACTTTTTTTAACCTTTAAAAAAATGGAGGCTTTGAGACAGTGTGGTCACCCGAATGCCAATCACTCTCATATCTTTTGGACGTGTACACAATTGACCTCATTTTGGGATAGTATATCCAAGTTAACAGATGACATCATGTCCTATGCATCCCTAAGGATCTCAGGATCTTCCTACTGGGTTTGCTACCCAGTGATTTGATTCTAAAAAAGGAAAGATATATTTTTTAAATCCCGTTGATCGCATTTGAAAAGGCCATAACAAGGAAAATCCTTAAGAAGGATCCTTCCCGAGTAGAGCAAGTGCTAGAGATTATAGAGGAAATACATCTGATGGAGAGACTGACTTTCTTTGTACGACTTAAATGTCATCTTTTTCAACAACTTGGACTAAACGGCATAAATATAAGCACAGGCTTGAAGATTCTGTCACTTAATTCATGATGCTTGGAACAGTGCCCCAATTTGTTCCCCTTTTATTTTTGTTATATTCTTGTCACAATGAAAATTCAAAATAAAAAGTTGCAAAAAAAAACCCTGAGGCTTTGAAAATGAATACAATTAATTGACATTATGATCTAATCCACCCATCCATTCAGCCTAGCTTCTGCTTATCCAAATTCAGGCTGTGGTGGCAGCAGGTTATGCAGGGCCCTTCTTCCCAGCAACACTTTCCACTTCCACACGGGGATTCTGAGGCATCCCCAGGTCTGAAGACAAGAAATACATGCAACAAATTTGAGGTCTACCCCAGGGTCTCCTTCTAGTTGAGTATGCCTGGAAACCATCCAATTGGAAGCCCCCATGAGGCATCCTCACCAGATGTATAAGCCAACTCAATGGAGCCAGTTATAATTTATAATAATTATAAAAATAAATACCATATAAGTAATAATAATGTTTGCTAAATGAGATATTGCAAAAAAAAATTGCAAATATTTGTAAAGACTGACCAATAAAAGTCTGCAGGTTACAGTAATTCAGTATCAACTTTGTCCTAATACTAGATTGAGTTAGATACATGGGTGTGTTGTATTCAGGAGTGCAAGGATTAGCATTTAGGAATCGTTATTGTAGGACCTGTGAACAGTCAGAGTAATAAAAAATAATATCAGCCCT